AAAAAAAAAAAAAAAAAAAAAAACCTCAAACCAAACACAATTTAAGGTTTTTGTCAGGAACAAAGCATACCGTTTTTTATTTTACTCGAGGCGTTTAAAACATAAATATGTTACAAAATTCAATTAATAAAAAAAATCATAAAACCCAACCCTAAAAAACACTAAAATTGAGCAAATAAAAACCATATAATATAATTAATGTATTATTTAATGAAAGGTTTGCAAAGAATATAGTACTCGAATAAATCCAAATAAGATAGGTTAATTGAGAACGACAATTATGTTGTACTACGCCACACAATATCTTTACTTGTGGGTAACATTTTATGCTTTGATTACAAGCCAGTCAATGTGGTGGGCCCCACTTATTTATTTATTTTTATTTATTTATTTTTACAAGGCCCACAAATCATTTCATGTTGACACGATATTGTAATTTAAATTAATAGACCCAAATTTTATTAAAAAATAATTAAATTGAGATTTAATTAATGTTATCTAATTGGGTTTACTAGTTAATTAAATTTTATTTTCATGTAATATTTTAAACCCGACTAAGATATAATTTTTTTAAAATAAAGTTGTATACAAAAATAGTATTTAAATTTTTATACACGTAGATTTTTGTATTTAAGGTAATATTGAACAATAATAATAAGTAAAAAAATATTTATTTATTGTGGTAGAGATTTCATGAAATATTCGAAAGTGTTGGAAAATGTTGCAAGTATGACGACATGTGGGCTTGTTTTTGTCTTTATATTAGTTTTATTCTTTTTTTTATTTTATTTTTTTATTTTCTACGAGTGCCAACAAAGAAAAATTAAGAAACAGCCCTTTTCATAATTATTTTATTTTTAAGAGCTATGTTTATTTGGAATGCAAATATTAAAAACGTTATTTTCTTATTTTCATCCCTTAAAAAAGTTTTCGATTAAAAAAATAAGTTTTAAAATGTTTGATATTTCAATTACTCCATATCCATAATATAATCAGGATACTAAATGAATTATAATATATATATATATATATATATATATTTAATTCAACAATTATAATAAAAATATTAGGAGTGTTCGTGAGTTGAATTAGATTGGGTTAAAACATTTTTTAGACCCTACCCAATTATTCGGGTTTAAATTTTTCAACAAAAAAAAATACTTATTAAATAATGAAATCAACTTACCCGAGTCATAATTTGTTTTCGATTGGATAATTAAGTTATTTTTATTCAAATTTCTATTTTTAATAATATTAAAATTTTAGTTGGAAATATATTTGTTTATTTATGTTTAAAAAGAATTAAAATTTACAACAAACATATTTTTGAGAGCTGCGAGAATAAATAATAACAATTTATATAATTAAATAAAAATAAAACAAATATAGGTATAAACAAAAATATAATTTTTAACCTTACTTCTTTAAAGAAAATTATAAAGTTTTTGTTTATTTGAACTCAGCTTATTCAAAATAAGCTTAAAATCTAATGGTTAGATTGATCGAGATTTACACGTCAAATTGTTTTAACACATCTAAAGAAGATGGAGCTATCGAACTATTAAAATTGTAATTTTTACTTTATTTACAATATTACGTTTGAATTTACCAAAAAAAATAATAATAAATCGATTTAGTTGATTTTAATATTTTTTTAATTCAGGTTTTTTTCTTCTTCTTCATTTTATGGCTAATGCACCAATTTATTGCTTGCTTGACCATCCCTAATATATATATATATATATATATATTTATTAATACAGACGGATCCAAATAATATATTTTGGGTTCAAACTTAAATAATATGGTGCAAGTTCAATAAATTACTTTATAAAAAAAAACAATTAAAATATTTTGTAATACTTTCTGTATGATAATATAATTTATTGATTAAAATATTATCTCATCAATAAAAAGTTAAATAATCAAATATCCATTTTATTTAATTAAAAAAAATACGACTTATCAACTCTAAATAATTACAAATTTAGTACAACTTTGATAAAACATTAATAAAACGTCAACTAAATAACGATTTAAATATAAAAACATTAAAATATGAAAATTAATTTTTTTTTTCTTAATTGTTACTGATATCTTATTAGAAAATTACGATTTTTGTCAAATAAATTAGAGAATTATTCAATGGAAATTTTCTAGAAATGTAAATATATTTTTAAAATTAATGAATTTATGAAACAAACAATTAAAAATTTAGAATTATTATTTTAAAAAATTATTAATTTGGATTAACTCTCAGACCTTAGAAATATTAAAAACGTCAATCCAAATAAAAGTATGAACGTCAATTATATATATATATATATATATTTTTTTTTTTTTTTTAATTTTTGTTTAAAAGAAGATCCCTTAATCTTCCACTAAATACCCAAAAAGCCCATCATTTCATGTAGTATGTGGCCTCTAATAAGAATTATAATTAAAATAATAACACAATTTGATAGTAAATAATATATAATAATAAAGTATATAATACATTTAAAAAATTCAATTTCATGTCAAATATATCATAATATTAATAATTTCGTTACATATTCAACTTTTTTTTTTTTAAGTTAACGAAATTTTAAAACATCAAGTTAGACTATGTATTTAGTACGGCCTTAAACTTTTAATTATATATTTAATTGATTATTAAAATTGGAAAAAATATCCTTAATCAAAGTCTATTAAACGAAATTAAAAATTTAAAAATTTATTCTCGAAAGTACGTTCCATATTAGAACTTAGTAACATTAGTAAATTGATTATATCATAATTGGATTACAAATTTCGTATATGTGTTAGAAAAATAAAGAAGTACCAATAAACTATGACACCCCAGTAAAGAAGGAGTACGTGAATGAACTGAGTCATGTTCGAATGAAAGAGATTATAAGGATAGGATAGCTAAGAATTGTTTAAAGGAATTGAAAATCGTTACCTATACCAACAAGGTGCACATTTCTCGTCGGGAACTCGATCATATAAAATTAATGAATAAGAGTGCTTTACTTTGAGTAGCTCTATGTCGGGTGACCTCTGATAAATTTTATTGGGAAGCATATGAGTGAAGACAAAGTATATTGGAATGACTTACGTTGGTATGTATGGATAGTTTTCACTATGAAGAAGCGAATAATAGATAACGTGACCATCTAGCAAGGGAATGTGAAGATCATCAGGTGCTGAATCCGATTGTAAATTTCGGTCACAACTTTCGATCATTAGGTGTTGAGATCAAAGTTGGCATGTCACAGGGGATGTAAGGGAGTACGGAGATGCAGATGCCGAATCTAGATTCTAAATTTCGGTCACAACTTTCGATTATTAGGTGTCGAGATCAAAGTTGCCATGTCACAGGGGATGTAAGGAAACGTCGAGATGCATGTACCGAATCCAGATTCTAAATTTCGTGCACAAATTCTGATCATCAGGTGTCGAGATCAAAGTTGCCATGTCGCAGGAGATGCAAGGGAATATCGAGATCATCAGGATCCGTGTCCGGATTCCAAATTTCGGGCACAACTTGTAATTTTGATAAACTGACGGGTAAATTTTGATAATTAAGAAAATAAAAGGGCCTTAATCCCACGTCTCACCGGACCATAGGTGGACGTTTAAGTCTTTGAAGCGTAGGGTTTAGGTTATGATTTATCGATAGCGCTCTCATCTCCCTCTCCCCTTCCCAAACATTCGAATCATTTTCCCAAATCTCCCTAGGGTTAGGGTTTTCTCTGTTTCTTTCGCGTGATTTTCGTTTGCAGGTACTCGAGGAGACGCAAACAATCCACTATGGCGAAGTACCGAAGCCGGAGTAGAAGTTACAGCCCTCGTCGGCGTAGCCGAACCCCACCACGAGGGCGGAAGCGGTACGACGACGACCCTAGAGACCGGTACCGCGAAAGCAGGTCTCATAGGGACCGTCGCTCTCCTGCTCCTTCTGGGTTACTCGTGCGTAATCTCCCCCTTGATGCTAGGTATTTCATGTTCTTCTTCGAGCTTCATCTGTTATTGGCAATGTCTCAATTTATTAGATTGATGGACGAATTGAATGGCGCATTTGCTTTCGCGTTTTACATGTAAATGTGCATTTGTCTAGAGTTTTGAATTTTGGGTAGGAGGTATATACGGCTTACCGTATGAATGTTGATTTGTAGTTATATAAATATTTATCAAGAAGAGCATTCGTTGCGTGTAGTCTCTTGTCAAGACGTGTGCAGTCACTCGACATTGTATTATTTTCTCGTTTTCTGTTGTCTATACATTGTATGAATTGTTAAGAGGAATAATTTAGGGTTTTGGTTGCATTTCATGCAGGCCGGAAGATCTTAGGATCCCGTTCGAGCGTTTTGGTCCTGTTAAGGATGTGTATCTTCCGAAAAACTACTACACTGGGTATGGTCGCTTTCATGTTAACTTGTGCTCACTTGGGTATTGAAGAAACCGATTTATTATTTCCTGGTACTTCTTTCTCTAATTATCAGGCTATCCACACTAGAAAATAGAGTTTTGCTATATTAGCTAAGAAAGAAAAATTTAAGAAAATTAATAATATTTTTAGATTAAGTTCTGAGTTTAGAATCTCAGAGCACTGTTGGAGTTTCAAAGTTTAAATTGCCTTTATCATTATGTAATTATTTGGCTAAGATTGTTTACAAATCAATATGAGAGTATGAACGGTAACATTTTTGCATATGGAAGGAATCTGCAAATTTGTTGATTAACTTGAGCTTAGTTCACTCTTAATCCTAGAGACGAGGAATTTGATTTTGTTAAACGATATGTTTACTAGTATGTAATGACAGTGATTACCACTTTAGTTCAACCATCTTTTGAATTTAGTTTAAATATAACTGATAATTAAGAAATTCCAAAAAGCGTAAATTAATTGAATTGGCAGTGGTTTGCATTATATTTGGATCTGAAAATTATTATTGCTACTCATATAAGATTGTGTGTTGACTTGTGAGATGTGGCAGCCCTTTCTAGTTTTCATTGGGTCAGAAATGGGTTTATATTTCAGTGTTTTGAATTTGTGGAAGTTTATTAATGTTCTGTTATGAAATATTATAGATATGATCTACTTTGTTCTCTCTCTCTCTCTCACGAGGATATCATTCCCTTCATTGCCTATTTGTAGGGAGCCCCGAGGGTTTGGGTTTGTGAAGTTTCGGTTTGCAGAAGATGCAGCTGAAGCAAAACAACAACTGAATCATACAGTTATAGGTGGACGGGAGATACGAATTGTGTTTGCTGAGGAGAACAGGAAAACTCCACAAGAAATGCGTGTGACTTCACGCTCAAGGTTCTATGACCTTCCTCCTAACTTCTAATCTTGCAGTATCCTTTGGTCTGATTATCTTCTTCACGTAACCTTTATTTTTAATTTTGAATTAATATATTGATAGTCTTTTTCTCGGTGCTCATATATAGTGGCAGAAGCAGCAGAAGGCGTTCTCCAGCAAGGTCTCCGCGACGGCGATATCATTGTCAGTGTCAATACTTATCTTGGTTTTTTCTCTCTATTTTGCTGATTTCGTGAAAAGAAACATTTGTATTGGGTTGATGTTGACGTTTGATTAACATCATTGTGATGCAATTTGTAATTACACCTTCATTTTATGCTCAACATGCCTTTTCTATTTGACTGCAGCTTACTCACGCTCACCTTCACCTGCCAGGCATGACTCAAGGTTGGATCTTATCTGTCATACTTATTCTGCTACTAGCAAGACTAAAATCATTATTGTCCTGCTGTTTCCGTTACTCCTTACTTCTATACCGTGTTTTGAAATATTGGTTGGTCCTATTATGATGATAAGTAAACTGTGCATGCCTTCTTCTAACTATATAATTTTGTTCTTTAACATGTCAAAGCATTCTTTTTGGATGAGAAACATTGCATAATATTTTGAATTTTGGCACTTGTCTTATAGAGTATTCAAACCTCCAATTGAAGTACATGTTCATTGTTTTGATTTTCAGTCTAACCAAAATGATTTTGTCTGCCATTGGGTGAAAATCAATTTTATAGAAATATTTCAATAAACTCAGCTTACTTCGATTTACTCAACCTGAACCTCATGAGTTCTGTTTTGTTCAAAAAACTTCTTGAAGTTATCAATGGTGTGTCAGTTTTAAAAAGCACGATCCATTTCTAATGGATGAATTATCCTTGTTCCTATGTCATGCGGTGATGTGTTTAGTCAGTAAATCTAAGTGGCGCTTTGCTGTGGTTTCAATTGCTGACTAAATATTAGGGTCATAGTCCAATAATAATAGTGGCACTTTTAATCTTCATTTCCTCATCAGGTTTATAATATCAGCCCAATATATTAAATCTAAGCAACACTTTCATTTTTTTGATGTTCTCCATGCTTTAATGTAGAATTTTATTTCATTTGCTTTAATGTTATCATGGTTAACCAAAAAGATTTAAATTTAATATTTGATTTGATGCACGTGAAATATTCTACTCCCTACATAGTACGGAGTTGCATTGCAGGAGATCGTGTACAATCTACTTAATTCCTTGTTTATGCAGATATTAAAGTGTAAAGGGAGACTTTAAAGACTTGTTGATTAATAAAGTTTAACAAGAAAAGCGATCATAAAGTGATGGGCACTTGCTTACTTTACCTATCGAACCCTCTCCATGAGTATAATCTATTACCTTTTCAATTATCTTAGTTGCATGTTTTTTATTTGTTTGTTGACAATTTTCTTGTGAGCAGAAGTTAAGGATTGGTGAGAGTTTAAAAACAAAATTTATCTCTGGTTTTTTCCCCCCCTTTTCCTCCCTTTCAAATCTCAACGATTTATCAGCAAGAAAGTGATTTGTAAGTTTGATATCTTCTTTTGCATATACCGTCCAGTTAAGAAAGATTAGAGCTTATAGTTGGCCAAAGAAAGAAATCATCTTCAAAGGAGAAAAAGCCAAAGTTTTTCTGGTTGTGGTATGGTGACATTGTCCAAGAAAAGATAATGTGATTTTTAGAAAGTTGGGGCAAAGAGAGCTATGAACTTGTCAGAAGCTGATCAACCAGTACAGCTTAATAGAGCATAATTCTCAGTGTTTGGATCTACTTGTCATAATTTTGTTCGGAAACCTGAAAATGGTGCAGGTAAAAGTCATGTTTTAGTTGATCAGTCTTGAAAATGATGTTGATAGAAAATTGTGCTTATAAAAGTATGATATAGTTAGTATCATAAGTACCTGTTGAGCGTACCTCATTGGGCCTTTGAAGACTGCTTGGACAGGTTTTCTTTCCTGTGTGAGAGAGAGAGTTGTTTGTGTTGTGCTGTTTTGAGTCTGAATGGAAATCGTTTCTGTTTGATTTGTTGATTTATCATTCCATTAATTTTTTCCATTGTTGTGGCTGATGTAGGAGCCGTGGGGCCAGGGATGAGTATCTCTCTCCTGCACGATCTAGATCAATTTCACGTTCTCATTCCCCTCGTGATAGAAGGGATTATAGCCGATCTCCAACTCCAAAGGAGAATGGTCGGAGCCCTCGTGCAGTGGACACTGCACGCAGTAGGTCAAGGAGTCCAAGGGCTGCTAGCCGCAGTCCATCTGGTTCTCGTTCACGTTCCTATAGGTATTTTACCTTTTAAATTCTTTTTTCTGGGCCTCCGGAAGACAAGTCTTCTCATTTCTGATTAAAGAGGCAAGAAGGAAATGACATTCTTCAATGATCTTGTATTTTTGCTCCTTTTCAAGAATTTATTCGATTATATTTTTGTCGATTTATGTTCAAGCTTAATTCAATATGAACTCAGAATGAGATTTGAGAGTGTTTTAGTTAGGGACAGCAAAGTTGTATATGTCGATTTATCGAACATTTCTGGTTCAAAGTATAATGTGCATTGTGTTTAGCCGGTAATAATTTCCATTGGTTGATTGAAAATTTAACACCCTGTCATGTTGCTTCTGCAGTCCTCGCTGATGGATGTGTTTCGGGATCATCCTCGAGATTTGTTAGTCTGCCTTCCGTTATGGCCAGATGAACTTTGCTATTCCATGCTATGCAGCTTCTGTAAGGAAATTTTATTTATATGTGAAAGTTGGGAGGCGGGACTTGAGTTGTGGGTTGAAGAACAATGAGTGTAGTCTTGCTGTTTCTCAAGTAGTTAACTTCATGTGAGTGCATGCTCTGGTGGACTTCTACTTGACAACCTTTCCTAGATTTAGATTTTTGGGGTTCAGTGGATTTCGTTTATACTCTTGTATATGTCTAGTGGTTGTATTTGTTAAGTTTAGGATGCTCAAATCTTGTTATGGATATTGTCTCGTTTGTTTACCCCAGTTTTGTGTTATTGTTCAGTAATACCATTTTATATCTGTTCTTAAACCTTTTTTGAAATTTCCAAATTTTATTATTAAAACTAGAAACAAAATCGTCAATGACTAGATTTAACCTGCAATGATTCGGTTCTGCTCTTTCGAATTTATTGTATCTTCAGTTGTGTTTCGATAATGAAAACTAGATCTGCATATGGTCTACCTTTGAGAGTTGATTGAATCATCTACCTTTGAGATATTGATTGAATCATCAACCTTTGAGATAATAATGAGAGATTTATGTACTAAACTATGTTTGAAGTCTTCAATTTTGCCTACAAAAATCATATTGGGAAGGAGAATGCTATGTTGAAAAGAATGTGTTTTTTGTCTTCCTTTCCCCTCATTTTCCTCTTTCACTCTCAATGTTGGCGTTACAAATATCAGAAATAAAATTGTTAAATTTGAAAATTCAAGGAGTAAAATTTGGCGTTACATCGATCAGCAAAAACGATATGTGGAGATACAGGTCGACCCATTTCTTTGACAAACTAGATACTGACGTCTCTCGTTCTTTTGAGGAAATCAAGAGATGTAATAAATCTTCTGTCCTGAACTTCTTGAACTAACGAAAAATCTAATAGAAAATCAAAATAAAGCCAAATGCAAATATCAAACATAAAATTGTTGAGTTTAAACCTATTTTTTTTAGTACACCAATCCAGTTAGAGGAAGATACAAATGCCAAGATATGTAATAGTATTGAAAACTTGTTAGAATTTCTTGATTGTAAGTTCTGTCAACACTTACCCAGATTACAGGTAAAGGGACGATGTGGAGGAGGTTTGGTTGTTCAGTTAAGTATCAAGGGTTCCCAAGAGAACCAGAAAATGTCATGAATAATTATATAGAAGGGCAACCTAAGCCATAATTGTGATAGCAGGGATTCTGTATAAAATGAAGCTACGATCTCCCCTGTCGGATAAAAACTCGGATACCAGGGGAATACAAAAAATGTACAGAAGAATTCTACCTTCACTCACTTTGCTTTGGTGATTCAACTGAATTCTTGATAACTGGAGTCTCTTCTGGTGACCGCTCCCCGCTTTCATCTTCCGCTGCCGAACATCCAGGAGGCAGGTCCAAATTTGCAGATTTATTTTCTGGTACCGAGTCATGAACTGGAGGAACATCAACTTGATCACATATGGTGGGTTCTGCAACTGCAATGGCGCTATCAGTTGGAGTCTGCACCGTGTCGAATGTTGGAGGAACATCAACTTGATCATGTATGGCAGTTTCTGCAACTGCAATGGTGCTATCAGTTGGAGTCTGCACCGTGTCGAATGTTGGAGGAACATCAACTTGATCACGTATGGCAGTTTCTGCAACTGCAATGGTGCTGTCAGTTGGAGTCTGCACCGTGTCGAATGTTGGAGGAACATCAACTTGATCACATATGGCAGTTTCTGCAACTGCAATGGTGCTATCAGTTGGAGCCTGCACCGTGTTGAATGTTGGAGGAACATCAACTTGATCACATGCTGTGGCGCTATCAGCTGGATCCTTTGCTAACTCGGAAGCTGGAGAAGATGAATCAACTTGATCACATATGGGAGCAGTATCAGCTGAACTCTTTACTGCGTCAAAAACTTGAGGAACATCAACTTGATCGCATATGGCAGCAGTATCTTCTGAACCCTTTTCCGCGTCACAAACTCGAGGAGCATCAACTTGATCACATATGGCAGCAGTATCTTCTGAACCCTTCGCCATGTCACAAACTCGAGGAGCATCAACTTGATCACATATGGCAGCAGTATCTTCTGAACCCTTTACCGCCTCACAAACTCGAGGAGCATCAACTTGATCACATACGGCAGCAGTATCTTCTGAACCCTTTACCTCGTCACAAACTGGAGGAACATCAACTTGATCACATATGTCCATTTCTACTGCGGTGGCACTATCAGCCGAACTCAGCACCGTGTCGCAGACTGGAGGAACATCAGCTTGATCGGACATGGCCATTTCTACATCTGCAATGCTATCAGCCGGATATTGCACAACAGATGAGGCACCAGCCGGTAGACAGCTTCCATTTTCTGTGGATACATCAGCTTCATCGCATACAACTGTTTCTGCAACTGCAATGGCACTATCAGCCAGACTCGAAACTGGCGTGCGTTCCAAGCTTTTATCTTCTTCGGGTAGAGAGGTTGGAGGACTGGCTGCTTCCGTTACAGCCCTCTTTAGAGAAAACTCCCCCACCTGAAATTCAAGAGTTGCATTACTATAAAGACCAAAAAAGTAAACGAATTGATATGCAGATCCAAAAAAACAAATGAGGCCAGTAATTCTCCTATAAAGATCTAAGATTCTACAAAGCACGAGTAAGTGAAGATTTTGGACTATCCCGACTTCCTCAACTTTTCCAAACCACAAATGGCCTTATAATCTAGCTATAATCTTTTTATTTATCGTTGTTCGGGGTACAGGGACCATCAGCATTGTTATCTTATTGACTTTCAGCTGCTGTCTTCATTTTGGTTGCAACAACCGTTTCTCGATTTTTGAAGTTTAGTTTTGACCAGGTGGTCGGAAAGGTTCGTTTCCTATTTAAGGGTGAAGATCATTAATAAATAAATTTCTTTCAAGTAAAACCATCTAAATCAGACCAACCTCAGACGCATCCGTTTGGTCAATCTGAACTTGCACACCAGGTTGCACTATAGCTTCTCCTACCTCCAACAAAGGAGACGAAGGCAAAATTGTTTCTCCTGACATATTTTCTTCTGAAATCCTATCAGGTTGAGAAGAATTCATTGAATCTGTTTCAGCCTGAAAACCTTTTACGTCTTTCAGTGGCGGTGGGCTAGGAATTCGACCACTGTCAAATGCGGCTTCAAACTTTTCGTCTTCTATGGTTGTTGGAGGTGGGGGCTGGTTTAGCGTATCAACTGCGTTTACAGGTACAGACTCCCCAGTTTGAGGAACATTAATCTGATCACCAGCTAAAGCTTCCTTCTTTGATACTATAAGATGATCGGAAAGATCAATGGAGACAAGGTTTTCAGTGATGCTTAAAAGCTGTTCCTTGATGACATGAGCGCCGTCCAATTTGTCATTTCTATTATCAGAATCCTCGCAATCCTCCAACGGCTCTGCACTATCAGAAAACGTTTTCTCGGAGGAAGTTTGCCGCTTGTCTTCCTCAGCTAACGCAACAGATGACATGTTTTCTGACAAAACAATGTTATCCTGTGTTGCAACCATATGGTCACTACTCATTTGATGATCACTTGGTGGCCCCTCCAGAGAGATTGGAGAGCTGATGGGATCCCTTGGAGTTGAGTCCTCATTCCTGTTGGATGAAGCAAGCACAACCGAAACTTCTGATAGCTTGTTCTGTAATTGTTCACTATCGTCGAGAGCTTTTACTGAATCTGCGACCGTGCAGTCATACAGATCATCCTTTGAAGAACCAATATTTTCTGTGTCTGTCACTGTGGATGAGGATACAGGTACATTAGTTTGGTCACCTGAATTATCTAAAGTTGTATTGGGCAACATCAAATTTGTTTCCTCAACTTGTGAGGAAGATAAAGGTTCGGCCAAATTTCCAGATTTATCTTCTTCCATATGATCAACAGGAACGTCCTCAACTTGATGATCAGATTGCCTTTTCTCGATAGGAGACCCTCGATTTATCTCACCAGATCCGTCAATCTTTCCTCCTTGTAGCGCAATACTTTCTTGCACAAGGTTTGCTGAAATCATAACATCATCCTGAGACGTAATCACTGGAAGATTAGCATCAACTCCGATATTTTCCGTTTCCTCTAGGTTCCCTAAACCATCAACTTGATTTACCACAGACGTTAAAGAACAATTTTCTTCCTCTCCCTGCACCGAAGGTGATGGCACGACCATATTATCAGTTGTATCTTCTAGTACACGTTCTCCATCAGAAACGTCCATTTGAACAACAGCATCAGAACTTTTGGATTCATTTTCTCTCTCTGTTGTTGAAGGTGAAATACCAGCAGGGATTAGTCCACCACCATCTGATTCATCTAGATCGTCATTTCTCGAGATGTCCATATCCATGAGGAACGTACCATGGTTGTCGGTTTTGTTAGCTTCACTATCCTGGATCAGAGGAATTGGCTCAGGAACATCCACAGGATTAACAGATTGAACATTGTCTTCCACTTTGTTTTCCACATTATCTGGTACATTCAAATTCCCCTCCGGCATACAATTACTACTATCATTTAATTCTGGTGCTTTCTGATCTTCAACATCAGTTTTCGGATCAAACTCCGGAGAAGAACCTCTATCAGATTTAGCTATATCTGAATCTTCAGGTTTTCCAGCAGAAACTTCATGGACTTCAACGATTCCATCATCAGATGTAGGAAAATGTGGCAACTCTTCTGAAGCAAGCTCTAATTTATTTGCTGATGTTTGCTCCACTATATCAGGTGCACCTGTGTTAGAATGATCTAGACAACCACTAGACCTCCCCAGAAAACTCTTCTGAAGCAAAATGTCATTATGTTTACTCTCGATATCCATGGTAGTTACAGAAAGGCGTCCTTGAACTTCAAGTTCAGCACCTGACATGTGTGCACCAGAACTCTCTTTAAATATTGTAACACCTGAATGATCACAATTTTCATGACGAATAGAGAGACTTTGGCTGCCACTGTTCTCCTGAGAACCTGGCCTGGACTCTTCCATGTCAGGCACCGACTCATTCAAACTGGAATCGCCTGTCACAACTGGAGGTATATAAGAACAGTCTTGACTAGGATTCTCTGTCGAGGTTTCAACAACAACTACAGGTCTAAGATCCACTTCCATCTTGTCTGCTTCACAAACAGACACCATTTCATTCACAGTATCAGGAGATAGACTGGGGCAATCTTGGCCAGGAGATCTTGCTCTTAAAGTTTCAACAGCTGTGAGATCAAGTACTGCGTTGTTAGACGCTTCGATCAATTCAACTGCAACTTCAGCAGAACATTTGGGGTTATCATCTTTGCCAGAACCCGTGCCCATCTTCTCAGGGGAACAGTCAATTCTCGATTTTGCAGGACATTCAAGGCTTGTATCATCAAATTCAGATGGTTCTGAGAAGCCTTTCACAGAAGGTATTTTTTCATCGTCAAGAGTTTTCTTCGTGACATCAGAAGACGCTTCACTGGGACAGTCCACAAAAGGTATAATGTCTTTGTCAAGAGTCTTCAATCTTATATCAGAAGACAGTTCTCTGTGATCAGGTTGGTTGACAGATATTTCTGCATTTTCTCTGGTATTATCAACAGTAGTTGCTGCAGGAGACTCTTCCAAAGACAGCTCTGGCATGTTCTTAATATCCATTTGAGTCGTACAAGGAGCAGTTATCATATTAGTGTGACTGCTATCAGAAGGGACAGGCAACGAAGAAGCAGGGTGATTTTCACCATCATTCAAAGATGAGGGAACTTCACCAACAGGGTTTGTTTCGTTTGGCGATACATCGTCCATCACCTTAAGAGCCTTTGATGCACTGGAATCACCAAGACTTGAGGAAATAGGTGAGGCATCCAGGGGATTATGGTCAGCATCGTTGAAGCATGATGAAATTCCAGAGCCACCAACCTGAAGACAAGAAGATTTAAGAGGTTCTTTCAAAGAAATTTTATATTTATCTCCCGAATTTGTATCAATTTTTGAAGGACGATTTTTATCACATGACGAAGGTACAGATGAACCAACCATACTTACTGAGTCCCCTGAACTAACAAGACTACCCTCATCAAGACTTGATCTCTGGCAAATATTATTTTTATTTTGATCGGTACTAAGAAGACAAGGAGACATGGATCTGACGTCACTTACCACAGTTGAGCATCTGGCAGATGTTTCTCTGGATTCAACCAATTTATCTATCACATTGGCCTTCGTACTTTCAGAATTTCCATCATTGATTTTCAAAATGTTACATTCTTCTGGAGCATTTGCAAAATCTGGTCTTATTTCACTAGTTGTAACTAAAGATTCCTTTTCATGGGCCTCAACTGGAATGTTGGAATTCGAAACTGTAGCTAAAGTAGCCTCTGATTTATCATTTTTGATCACCTCCACAGACGGATTGCTCAAAAGAGGCGGTGCAGGGGCATCCTTGTTTTCTTTCCCAGAAGACTCTCCAACTTTAGCTTTCGGCAAGCAAGTTCCAGAGAAGACCTCCTTCATTACTCGAGCAACATCATTTACGTTTGCAGTTTGATAACGACCTGATACAGAGGTCCTGTCCAAGGCTCCAGTAACATCAATTTTTGTTGATGATGTCAACAGCTGTTTGTGTTGGGAAGATTTGGGTGCTTGCTCCTTTCTTTTCGGACCCGGGGAATGCACAGTTTCTATAATTTGGGCAACACCTGCGACACTCTGAACATTGGTTGATACTTGATTCTCAGTCCCAGTTTTACCTTTTAGGCATGTGTCTTTAACACTTGAATCCCCCAATTGCCCTGGCTGCACGTGCACATTCAAACCTTTAGCTTCATTGCTAGCTAAATCCTCAAGAATGACAGGAGTAAAGGAGGCCGATTTTCTTCCCCTACGCCGAGGGGGCTCTTCCTTGTTTTTTGCAGTTTTACGACCTTGCCGTTTAGGTTGCACGTGTCCAGGTGGTGGACATTGAGAGGGAGATTGCAAGGTTGAAGCCACTGATGGGAGTGAATGGATTGGTTGGGAACTAGAAACAGCCTCTGGAGCAACATCTATTATAGTTTTGGGACTCATCTCCACAGCAACAGAACTAGGTAAACAAACAGCTGGAGGACTACATGTCGGAACTGCAGTTTCTGGTGTTGATGTAACTGGATGAGGTGTGTCCAGCAAACTATGGCTTTTCAATGTCTCATTGACACTATTTTTTCTTACAGTTGCGTCCTGGGCAGCACCAGCGCCACTCAAATGCTCAGAGGGGCTTGCTTTGACTGTGCAATCTCCAGAAGAAGCCTCCTTGGTCATATTAGAAATGCCACGTGAATCAGTATTTTGATTCTGTTCGGTAGACCCTGCATAAAATTTTGAACGCCTAAATTCAATAAAAGTAAATTGATACACATAACAGACAATGATCACATGCTGAAGTCTATCTAATACTTACCTTGTGGTCCCACGGTACTACCAGAAGTTGATAAGCTCACTGTCTCCTTGCCCTGATTGGAATTATTTGTTGGTTTAGTAGATTCCACGTCCTGTATAGTGATTCCATCAGGTTTCTGGGTCAATTCCTCAGAGATAATATTGGTTACCTGACTGACGGTATCTTCTTTAGTAGTAGTGACAACAGCAGCCTTTTTTGAAGAATCAACAGCAGCCTCATTTGAACTTAGACTAGAACCAGCCACGGTGTTAGGCAATGCAGGAGTTGCTGCTGCCTGTTTCTTTCCTCTACGTCGTGGTGCTCCAGCAGCATTCTGAGTCTTTCGATTTTGTCCTCTAGGTTGTGAATTGGAATGAGGGGCAAATTGAGAGATAGAATCCACAGAAGGCAAAGCAGGACTAGGTTCCAAATTTGATGAAACCCCAATGGTAGGCTGATCATTAGGTCCAGTGACAGGTTTTGAAGGGGCAGAACCTGGCAGATGAGTGGGAAGCTGGGTGGCAGAAGCATTAGAAACGATGTCGTTTGCTACATTAACTTGACCTGCCACTGGGTTTGTGGAGGAGGATAGACTGCCAGAAACAGGAGGTGGCACCAGCCCCTGTTTTTTCCCCCTTCTTCGAGGAGCTTCTTGTCCTGTTTGAGTTTTTCGACCGTGGCCTTTCACTTGAACTGGTGCTGGGGAGCAAGCTGGAGCTGATTCGGAGGCAGGAATCATACAAGGCACTGAGGTAGTTAACTGAGAACTTGGTGCAGCCCCTGAAGCATGTTGATCAATCATTCCTTGACTAGGCAAAGAATCTAGACTGCCTGTTTTAGAAATGCTTGAAATAGTTTCTCCTTCTAACCCTGTCTCCACTTTGGCTGTTATAGAAAGAGATGGAGGAACCACTGGAGCAGGCAACTTATCGGCACCCAATCGTTTTGGTCTTCCACGACCTCGCTTCGAAGGTGGTGTTTGATGCTGAGGCATTGGCTGAATAGGAGGCAGAGGAGAGGAAGCAGAAACTTCTGTCTTCAAAACAGCTGCTACAACAGATCCACTAATACTACCTGATGGTTCTCCTGCCACAGACTCCTTTGACCTGGGGGATTCAGGTGAGTCGACCTTGCACATCTTTTCAAATTCCTCCTCAGTCCACTGTTCCTCATAGGATCGCACCTATTAAAGTAGGGAGTTTAATGAAAATAAAATAAAACATAGCAAAAGCCAAAAGAGTTCAGGCATATGGCATTCACAAGTAACAAAACACTAATCAGACCTCTCTTGCCCGCTTCCCCCTCCCATAATGTATGGTGTCAAGGCTTCCAGGATCACTCTTCCTCTTTACCCCTACATGGGCAACCTCTCCAGCTTTTGTTACGCCTTCAGTTATCTTCATTGTTTCATAGAATACTTTCAGGTCATCATATGTTACAAGACGTGAAGGCATGGAAGAAACAGGATCAGAACTTCCATGACCAGGTACCAGCTTCTTCCATGTGGCCTGCAACATTAATGTTTAGAAGTTCATTACATAAATACTATATCTCCGTTAGTTTACACAATACGAGGAAAAGAGAAGACTGAAGGAGTGTTGATTTTCATACCATCTCATACTCTCGCCGTTCTTTGTCGACCGTTTCAAACACATCAATCTCTGACTCACTGTGAACATGGAGACAATGGTTAATACAAACTGTGTTTCTTACCTAACCATCGCATGCACAAGAAGAAAGATCCTTATTTCCCTTTGGGGCGTCACATAATCAGCTGTATAAAATATCAAGCAATGAGAATCAGCCTACCTGCGTGCCAAGAGATCATTCAGAGCATCATCATCTAGTACAGGTGCAGCTTCTTCTTTCTTACACTCGCGTAGAAGAGATTCCAAATATTCCCTACGATCTTCAGCACTGCAGTACAGTAAATGAGAAAAACCATTTAGTGCCTCACACAAACATGGGTTTTCTTGAAAGGGCAACCAACCTTGTATTGTTGTCAAAAAAACCGGCTGTAATACTCTGGTTAGCGACGCCTAGTTTATGCTCCGCAGCAGCTCGCACTTGTTCTTCCACCGTTTGAACCTTGATATGGGGTGGACCAGAAAAGAAAGAAAGATCAGAACGTGCCCAATTACAAACACATGATAGGATGACAATACCCACATTTCAATTACTAACCATGATAAGATAATGCGACATTAGTCCATCAGACTGAATCAAGCAACTAAGAGTTCAATTTCTAAACCAAAAAAAGAAAAGAAACAAAGAAACAAAAACTTTCATGATATGAGGAGTATAAAAGGAAAATGAAGTTCATTACAAAGAGGCTCTCCAATTGGTTTTAGTGACGAAGGAACTATAGTTCCAACTATCAATGATATCAAATGTTAGTCAAGAGCCCCAAAGACTCAAAGTTGAACATGTGTTCGAGCACAGTCAATCCAATCATTTTGGATACTGAAATATACTATGATATATTTGGCTCTATCTTTAATTTTATAATTATTTTCTTTTGTGATTTTTTCCTTTCCTATGAACAAATTATTGGAGCCCTTTCTTGTAGATTTTTTTTTTTGGCACTCCATGCAACTTGGTTTGGTCTATGTTTTTGTCCGTTCATTCCACATGACATGATAGAAGCAGTTATTTAGCGGCTCCCTCATGATGCCGATCCTTGTTGGTTCCCATTGAATCCAAAGGAGCCTTCACCATCATGAAACCTTGGGACTGTTTCAACGCTGATAAGATTACTTAGTTCCAAGACATGACCAGAAAACTTACTGTTTCGAATCTAAGAACAAGCACGTCCCTCTTCTGGCCAATCCTATGAGCCCTGGCCTGTGCCTGTAGATCAACCTGACAACATACGCACAGTAATCCAGATTTAGAATGAAAGCTACATCAGATTCTTGACATAAATATCATGTCATTCATATATGCCTGTGGATTCCAGTCTGTATCGAAGATAATCACTGTATCAGCAGCTTGGAGATTCACTCCCACACCACCAGCTCGAATGCTGACACCATAAAAAGCTTAGTAGGGTAACTATAGAACATGCGATTTGAGAACTGAGACAAGACAATTCATAAAACAACTGATCAGACAGAAAGTTACCTGAGAAGGAATATAAAATAGGGAGAATTTTGCTGATTAAATGATTCGATCAGTGCACCACGATCACCCCCAGATGTATGTCCATCCAATCGTAGATATCGATACTGTTTCCAGTGAAGATATTCCTCCATAACATCGAGCAGTCTAGTCATGGTGGAAAAGAAGAGAACCTGCAAAAATAGAAGTCAATTAGTGATATTGAAACATCTATAAATAAAAGGATCCATGATGACGAACAGAGAAAAAAAAAATCAGTTCTGAAATGACAGCATTGACAGAGACAATAAACTAATCATAAATATAAATAAATCAGATTCAAGAAGGAAGGAATATATATTACAATGAAAAGTGAATAGACGCTAACGAGTATAATAAAAAAGATAAAAAAAATGTGAAGTGGCAGAAACAAAGAGTAACATACAGCATTAAATTCTCATCAACATTGTAGCTTGATATTGTTAATCTAAGAAGTACTTACCCGATGATCAGTTGCTTTTAGCTTTGGTAATATTCTATCTAACATCTCAAGCTTTCCACAGAGTCTTATAATTGGTGGCAGGTAATGCTTAGGTATCAAATTATCAACCTAGACAAGAATAAAGAAGTTTCTTAAGGACAAATACCAACAAGCAGGAAATAGGGTAGTTAAGCTTCCAACTCTAGGTTGTGCGCTGTTAAAATGCAAAGAAGGTAAGGATAAAACAGATCAAAGATACAAGGTAGTGGGGTGGGGCGGAACATCCTACCTTCACCCTTCCCTCAATTTGTTTATCCAAAAACTATTCCATAAATAAATTGCATTAAGAGAAAAGAAAGACATGCCTCCTCTGCATGAAGTTGGCTTAGATACGGATGATTACAAATATTACGCAGCTCCATCACCGAGTTATGCACTGATCGGACCTGGAGAGAGAATATGTGAGAGTGTAGGTAACAATTGAATTATCTTAGTAGACAGAACGCCAAATTTCTTCTTGAAAAGTATGTAGAAAAAGAAATATAGTGAAGGAACCTTTGTACTTCCTATCGATCCAAGGTTTTCCTCTACTCTCCTCATCAAAAGTTTCTGATATGCAGAAGCCTCGCATCTTACAAGTCTTTCTATCTTTTCTGGCAGTTCATTTTCCACCTGCAAGAAAGAATACAATTATACAAGCACCTAAATGCGCGATACCAAGGAAACAATTCTCTGAAAATCTTCCATAGATGTTAATGCTGAATTGCTGATTAGCAGTATACGGATAATCTAGCCACGAAGAAAACCCGACTCATTGTGTCACATGTGAGAGACTTATTTTTCTAGGATAGATTGGGTGGCATTTTCAAATTCTGGATTTATTTGAACTACCGGGCATATAAAACAAGACCAAAAATACTAAGAATTTTTTACTACAATTACATCATAACAAATAGCAGAATTCTGGAAAAGGGATGCATGAGAAAATGGAATGATTGTCCCAAAAAAATGATGGCGAACAAGCACCAATAAACAGTGAATATTTATAAAGACAAAATGATGCTGCTGAGCACAGGCTTTAGTTCAAAGAAACCTTGTGTTTAAGCCTCCGAAGAACGAACGGGCGAAGCACTTGGTGAAGTCGATTTATGATCAAAAGATTTTCCTCTTCAGAAAGCAAGGCCTTGTCCATCAAAAAAATTAAAAAAAATTAAGAGAAAGGAAAAAGAAACTGAAATTTCAAAGAGAAGTCGCAGAATTTTGGAATTACTTCGTCAGCTGAATTATCACCATTACTCTCAAATGGTTTGTTGAACCACTGCGAAAAATCCTCCGATGAATTAAAAATATTTGGCAACAAAAAGTTCAGTAATGCCCACAGCTCCTCAAGGTTGTTCTGCACAAAATGGATTTCAAATTAAGCCAACAAGTACAAAGGACTAAATTATCAAAACACACAAGAAAATTATAAATATAGTATACAAGTGTACTCCAGTTCAATATAAGAGTTTCTCTCCATTAATGTTAGCTTTAGTTATTTCCTGAGTACATTTCATTTTTACAATGGGCCACAAATTAAAGTTGGTTTTTTAATACAATGTAAGGTAGCCTAAACTTATTTGCTCAAATGGAAGAGCAGTAAGGATAGTTTTATGGATATTATTATTCAGGATTTTTTTTCTTTTTTTCAAGAAGACCTCAAATGCACCATTCGGCTATGAGGAATGAGAGAACATTGATGCCAGAAGGTTGAATGAAATAACGGACCGAAGCTTAATGAAGTTTGGACAAAAACAATGAGTTTAGGCTACTGCTACTTGACATTAAGAATATAATAACTTGAATGCTCAGTTTCTGCTCTCAGGTATTAAGAGATTTCAAAAATGAAACCAAAAGTTATTTCAAATTCTGTTTTTATTTTTATTTTTTCGCAAAAATAGAACTTTCTTAAGTAAGATGGTCTTAGTTTATTGGATTTTAACTTAAAAGGAAGGTAGTTATAAATCGAGACTTGTAAATTTTAAGTTCACAATGATGAAAGATATATGAATAAAATGCTTCCTTCTTGTTTAAATTCCCAGCAGTATCCCTATTAAAAGTTTACAATACACTAATTTCAAGTCTAACCCACTCTACACAACATTATGATTTCATATAGTTTTAATCTTTAATATTCTGTCAAAATCATTTCTTATATTTCTTTTGATGCCAAGGGAGGGAAAAGGCTTGGTTCTGTAGTTCATGACCTAAATATAAGGTTAAAGGAATCACTCCTATGCTGTAAAAGAGAAGAACATTAACGACTGTGACCTGTAGCGGTGTTCCAGTCAAGAGTAATCTGTGAGAACTCTTATAGTGCTTCAGATCAGCATTCAACTTGCACGAAGCATTCTTTATGCGATGGCCTTCATCAATTATGATATAGTGCCAATGAATTTTGCTCAGTTTTGGCCTATCATGCTTGTTCATCAGATACTCGTATGTGGTCAGAAGTACATTAAATTTCTGATGAACAATTCTCTCCCTGGAATAAGAACCAGGTAAGTTTCTGGATTATCCAACAAGGGATCATGAAAAAAAGATAATGAAAATCATTACTTGAATAATCTACGCCGCTCTTCTGGAGGCCCAGAATACACAATTTTAAGGATACTAGGGGCCCAGAAGTTGATTTCCGACTCCCATCCGGGTAAAACTGATGATGGCACAACCACCAAAAAGGGACCTCGGTCATTCTTAGTCTCCATCAAGTAACAGATTAGGGAAATTACCTGGAACTTTCCCTGTTAGTAACATTGAATTTACAGAAGCTAGATCTAGGCTCATATAAGGCAGCTTAGGAGAGTACAGTACCTGAACAGTTTTTCCAAGCCCCATTTCATCAGCAAGTATTCCATTCAAATGGTTGTTATATAATGAAACGAGCCACCGAAGGCCATTCATCTGATACCTAAAATTTTTATTGCCACATTTACACGAAACTCAGAATGGCCTAAGCACTGCCTTTTATTGTTCTTACCAATATCATGAATTCAGAAAATCAAAGAACTAAAGTGTGAGAAGATATTGTCAAAAATAGGAGTCTCCATACCACGTTCAGATTTTATAAAAATCAAAGATTAAATTAAAAAGGATGGGATGATAGGAAAGCCACGATACTTACTCCCTCAACTTTCCTCCCTGAAGACAAGTCGGCTGCTCAGCTATGCTTTCCTTTACACTGCAAACGATTATTCATATAAGATGCTTGAAACGAATTAACAATAACTAGTTGTTAATGAGAATTATCAACTTGAATCCTCAAAACATCAAGAGATTCTGTCAAGCAAAATTTCCAAGCACTAGCCAAAAGTTGTCTAGGGGAAGGGGTGGGGAAGAAGAAAACGTGAACTGTCCCTCACCTATGAGCCATCAGGTAGTACTTCTCGTTACTTTCCAAATAATGCTGTAAGAAGAAAGTCAATATAATTAGTGAATGAAACAAAAACTGATGTAAGAAAGTGAGAAGAGAACCACTTGCCTTAGCCTGATCACTTTCATCTTCATTTTCAATCGCAACTTCACTTTTTTCAGCAACATTCACATCTCCTCCATCATCCATATCGTCCTCAAATCGGGTTGCCATGGATTTTGCCACCTGTAGCTTGGATCCAAGCTTTTGAAGATATTTCTCAGTCTCCTTGAGAAGTTGCTTAACACGATCTGATTTTGCATCCTAGCACATGAAGTGAAATGTCAGTGTGAGAAATAAAAATCTACCACATTATCTGATTTTGCATCAAGGGAGAATTTTGAATTTTCTTCAGCCCTTTTTTATCCCGATTAAACCCAAAACTAGCGTAAAAATAATTAGATGTTGACTTGATGCTCTAAGCTCTACACTTGTGTCTAACTTTAAGTTCATTTCCCACAATCTTAATGTCTGAATTTTTTTTAATTTATTTCTGTGTCAGATTGATAATTATTTTATGTATTAAATATTATTATGTTAATTTTTAATAGATAAAAGATAACAACTCATAACAAGACTCTACACTGACCTCTATTGCTTTGTTCTTTCCACTTTACTATTTTTCCATTTTCCTTCTTGCAAAAGGCAATGTTTATTACTTGTACACAAATTGGAACTTATTTAAAGCATTTATTAGTTCTACAGTTGCATCAGGAAAAACATCTACAGGTCTCTGTTTTTTCTTATTTATTCTTCTTTAGTTGACTTATTTGGTTATGCTTATTCTATAGCTATATAATTAAATCCTTATATGTTCAATATGGACTTATGAGTAACACAGAGTTTAAACAAACCAATTTTATAAAAAAAAAAAAATAGAAACTTTATTAGAAGGGGAGATACAAAAAAATGGAGATGAGCTTCCCAAACAAGCCAAGGGAACAGTAAAAAGGTTTCGCAATTGGCATGAATTTGAGAAAAGGTGCATTGACAAAACAACCCACAAATATGAGCACGAGAACAATAATAGGAAAATAATTATCTCTAATTTGCAAATAAGGTGATTGCCTTCTGATTAATCGTAAACCTTGTATAACGATTACTTACAATAGAATTATAAGAAAAAATGAAATAAATATTAGTTATTATTATTAATGTTTTTCATTTATAAGAAAATCATTCTTGAAATGATTTTACTTTTTCTTTTTCTAATAAGAAACCAAAAATGTTAACCTACAAGAATTTCACTTAAAAGAAAGGGACTTTAGTCCACAAAAGAATCAAACCAAGCTGATACTTACTCTTGAAATGATTATTTAAATTTCATATAACACAATTTTTTAACTACTTGTAAATTAGAGACTTAAACCACGAGCAGTACACGGTTAAAATGCATGAAGAATAAACAGTATGAAGAAGAATAGATTATTTCCCCTTTGATTACAGTAATTATCAAAGAGAAGACAAACCTGCACCATTCGAAGATACCCCTCTACATCGTTGATCTTCAAGAGATTGATCTTCTCACGCTGGATTCTGTCAATCTTCTCACGATGAATTCGTTCCTTCCTTTTGTGGAACTCCTTCGCATACTTATTGAAACCTTTCCACCTCTCTCTCTTAACTTTAAACGTGTCATCAAGTCTTTCCCTATTAAAAAAGTTAACAGACAGTGAGCAAAATTTGTTCAATCGTTTAACCTCAGTCCATCATAATGTGTTTATCATTGATGGAACTAAGACCTATGAGGTTTTATTTGAAGTATAGACAAAAACTCAATTAGATGGGCACCACATACTTGTGAACTTCTATCTCACCAAAGAACTCCTTTTGCCTCTCCCGAATTCTCTTTTGTCTCTCCTCTTTCATTCTCTGCTCATATTTCTCAAGTTGTTTAATCCTCCTCCCATGTTTATACTTCTTGAAAGATTTCAAGCGGTCCATCTCATTTGAAATTGGTTTGAAGAAATCATTAAGAAAATCACTGCAAGATTTTCCAAATTCATAAAAAAGATTAGTAAAAGAAGCTACAATAGCTGTAAAACTCTTGGTGAAAACTAGGAAACTACTCAGGAGAAAGACTAGAGAGATATTACTTCCTGAGGCGGCGCTGAAGCTGCAAGAGTTGAAGCTTTTTCAATTCTATTACACTTCTAGTTTTTGCAGATATATCTTCCGACGAGCTGACAGTATTCTGCAAAGTTCGGAAAGGAAAATGATAAGCAAGATATAAGATGAACTAAATGTGCCGTATCAAAATCAATGAAAAATCATTACTGCAATTTCCGGAAAAATCCCGGAGGTATTAACTACAGGCCACTTTGGCATCAAAACAATGAATAGATCTTTTGCTTCTAGAAACGAAAACTTGGAAAAAAATTGGAGTATAAACTTGGCTAAAAAATTTAAAGAATTGGTTCATTTCATTGATGTGACAAAATACACAAAAAAAGCCAAACTCGTAAATGTTGCCCAAAATCACAAGCATAATCTACTTTCCCAAAATACTTGAAGATTTACCACATCACCTGCCTCCCGATCATAAGGGGGAATCGAAAACCAAGGGATAGAGAGGATAGGGTATTGAAGGAAGGCAAAATAGAAGCCACCAAATGCAACCTCTTATTAAACAAATGATAAGATGAGGGAACGAAGCATGCATGGGTTTCTCTCCCATTCAAAACTCCTCCCAAAAACAAGTATTTGACCCATCCCCGAAAAAGCATTTAACAAACTGAGAGAACATAGGAACACCCGAGGCAATAGCAGACGAGGAACTCTTATAAGAACCATTAAACTCACAATAATCCTCTGCCACAAAGAATCAGGCTCCAAGCAGAAGTACCACAACCATTTCACCAAGGGAGCCTCATTGCATAACTGCAGATCTCTGATACCTAAGCCCCCACTCTCCCAAGGCTTCAAGAAAACCTCCCAATTAACTAAGTGAGCCCTCCCCTCAAGTCTCCTTTCCCATAAACCTTTCAATGTCCTAAATAAACGACACGTGCATCCTAAAAATGGAGAGGAATAACAGGATTCCACTCAATACTGATTGAATCAATGTCAGTCTTCCCCAATTAGAGAAGAAAACCTTTTTGCCACGATGAAAACTGTTTCTGAACTTTCTAAACTTTCTAAACTTTCTCCACCACCAGATTCCAAATGCAATAATTTTCAAGTTATCAACCAAAGGAGGAGGAGATAAGATATCCCCCCACACCAATGGGTTACAAAATAGATGCCTAACTAGTGTAAATATGAGTTTGACTATAATTAAAAGGACTTTAGAAGTACAAGACCAAGTAGAAGGAAAAAGAGTAACCAAATCCCAAAAGAAAGTCTCTGTTAGTTTCTTGACCACAAAAAATTATAGAATTTCTTTCAAACCATAGTTCCTAAGGAGGGGTAAGACACCATTGGACCATAGAATTTTCACCAGAACTTTAGACTGAGGGCCATCAATAAGTTGAAGAAGGGCATCTGAAGCTTTGTAGTGCCAACACCACTGCAAATTGAACAAATTTAACAAATTTAACAACCTTTCCCCGCAAACAGCATCAAGCAGGCCAACTAGAGGTAAGTGTAGAATTTTGAAGAATTCTTTGGATTCTGCAGCAAGTATATAGCCTCTCAAAAAGAGAAATCCACAAGAAAACCTTGACCTTTTTAGGGCATGATGCTTTCCATAAAAGATCAGATTTTTTTTTGTCCAAAGCTGTTGTTTCTCAGTAAGCTTGGGAGAAAAGGATCTAACCAAAAAGGAACCATTGTTTTCCAGCATCCACACTCTCAAATCATCCCAGTTATTCGGTCTAAAAGCATGAAGCTTGTTTAAGAGAGTTGTCCTTTCTTTGAACTCCACATCAGTAAGATTTCTTCTCAACTTTAAATACCACGCAAAAGAGAATCAGACCAGCACTGCTTAACCATCAAGTCCTTGGTAACCACAATTCTAAACGGTCTAGAGGAATTCCACACGAAGGGAAAATCAATTGGCTATTTATCCTTCCACAAACGGGTTTTATCCCCAAAACCCATTCTAATTTTGTGCTACTCCTCAGATAGGAGAATACATTTCATGATTTGGGACCATGGGCCTTTAAACGACCAAGAGCATTTGATAGAGGCGAACCATTGATTCTCATTCCAATTATATTTAGAAGAAATCACCTGTCTCCACAAAACTTCATTTCCCATAAGAAATCTCCAGCTCCATTTAGCTAAGAGAGCTTTATTTTTAGTGGCGAGATTACCAATACCCAAACCTCCCATTACGAGATGAAGAAAAGTAGTTTCCCAATTAACAAGGATGATAACACCGTTCTCCTTATTACCTTTCCAAAAGAAGTCTCTAATTAACCCTAAACTGACTACTTTGCACCGCATCAAAGTGACCTAATGATTTAACCTGGCCGATCACGCCAAAGTGGAGTTTTTTCAACAATCAATTCTTAAACCTGATATAGCTTCCTCATTGCGAATTGAGAAGGTCTTTTGTAAATATCATGGATTATACATCCCTCTTGTAAATTTCACTTATCAATGAAATTGTCTCTTATAAAAAAAAAAAAAAAAAAATGGAAAGCTATTAAAATTTGTAAAGGAGTGCTCCTTCTCAAAACTGAAAAAGAGAGTAACGCCAGGTACGACAACTAAACTTCATCAATGCCCACCACAAAGCCATCCAACAGACCCTTCTCCACATCAGCATAAACTAACCTACTAGGAACATACACTACAAGATTAAACAGAAAGGGCAAACTAGGATCACATTGTCTAAGACCCTTCTCCACTCTTGATCTAATATAGTTTACCGTTATTAGAAAGAAAAAAAAACAGCAAGAAGCTAGAAATAGAGAATGAAAAACTGCGTTGCACACAAACCTTTAACTTATCAAAACAAGTGCCAATACGTCTCTCAGTTTTTTGTTGTTTCAGTAACCAATTTTGCTCATTTAGGAGTTTCTTTCTCTGCCGATCCATTATCCATTTCTCTGACATGGTGTACTTTGGAGACTTCGACAAATCAGATGGCACTAACTTACCATCATCTTCTTGTTCCATAGAATTTAGGCTGCTATTTTTCCCTCCATCAATAGATAACACTTTTTGCACTTCTGTGTTGCATCTAGATTCGGATTCGGGCACATTCATATCATCTACAAATGAAAATTCATGACATTCAATAATAACCATTCAAGTGATCTGATTAAAGTTTTACAAAAAAAACCTCACCATGGGATGCAAGATTTGAGATCATACTAGCATCTCTAGAGGGCATTGCAGCATGGTATTGATCATATGCCCCAGAGATAGGTTTCCACCGCTCTCCCATCGAAAATGAAGACTGACTATCAATATATTGACTCCCCAAACCACTATTGTTCCTAACAGTGTGCAACTGAGCAGAGACGTCATTCTTCCTATCAACTACCAGCTCATGCTGACCAGCAAAGGCTGGTAGACTTCCCCTAGAAAGCTCATTTGTGCTGCCAATTCCTGTCCAGCTAACTGTTTCAGGGTTTAGTGGCTTACTCATCCCCACGGCAGCAGTGGCTTGAAGATTACTATTCTCCAAATCCTCAACAGGATTATTCACAGTTAAAACCCCCCTTGCACCTGAAAAGTCAGAAGGATGTGATGCAGAGCTCAAGCATGTTTGGGAAATTGCTTTTTCCCGCATTACTTCAGCCTCTGGTTTTCTTGCTTCTGCTTGAACAAAATAATCAGATGGTGCACCCTTTTTATCCTCCACTTCCCTATTATCTACTTCTTTCATGGAGTCGGCCTCGTAGATTCTTCCAGCAGATATGGCGCCTGGGGCCACAATTCCTGTTTCCCTTGCAGCATCCAATTTTCCTGATGCCATCATGACTTCAGTGGTACTTCTGGCCTCATTAAATGATTGAGCAATGCCTCTAGGATCGACATCTTTGCGAAGCCCCTCTACATTGCCATTCAAGCTAATTAATAAGAAACTGCTGTTTTATAGTAATATAGTAGAGTTTTGTTTTGAAAAAAATTATAAAAAAGCAGTAAAGTGGTCTACCTTCTTTCGGAAAATTATTCCCAAGGGCAATTTCAAGATGCAGTTTCTTTGGCATTAAACCATTTCTGAACAGAAACAATGAAACATAGAATTCAAAACAACCTACTAGAACAATAATTATATTATTCTAACTGAATTTGCAGATTTAGAAGAATAGGCAACCTGAATGCCAAAAACACAAGGCACTGAGCCCTAAGTTGCTTTAATTGTTGTTCCTTGAAAGGCAAACGAGATTGGGAAGAGGTAGGAACCTGAGAAACAGGGAGCTTTCCTGCTTCTCTAGAAACGGGATTGCGTATCATATTCATTTCAGGTGCATTGTTCCGCCATGCGCCCTGTTAAGAACATGAGAACAAGTTAATATCAAATTATGCATAAACAGTCTTGGTATAGTTCCCAAATCAAGCTATTTCCAAAGTCAAAGTAGTGGTTGTGCTTTAAGGAGCACAAATTTTGTTTAAGCATAAACAATGAGAACCACATGTCAATGCGGCCATATTTTTATGAATAATCCAGCTTTCATCGAGAAAAAATGAAAGAAAACAAAGGCATACAAAAAAGAAGCCCACAAAAAGGGAGGCAACCTACAAAAAAAGAGGTCTCGCCCCATTGAGACATGTGGAAAGGTGTTAGCAACAATAAAGGGGGAAGGAGCACTTCGCTTCAACTAAACAAAGCATCGCGCTTTTAAAATGTATTCTTTATTAACTATTTCGAAAACTACTATTGTTCTGTTTTATTTGTTTATCTGGTTAAAACAACCTTTGTATGACGAAGCAATGAAAGAATACACAGGCATAAGAAAAAAACATGCCCATAAAAGGGAGGCGACTAAAAAATGGGCCTCAAGATTTGAAAGATAAGACCTATCAAGTGATAACAAAAAGCCTTCATAACTGAAACCCAAAGAGAGCGAAATCTAACAAGGGACCAAACATCACTAGGATTCCTTTCCAAACCTCTAAATGGGAGGAAAAAGGGAGCTCGAAGGAGATATCATTCGACAAATTTTTATGTGTGTCTTTAATCCCAACTGACAACCACTCAACGAGGTGAGACTCATACTTACACGCAATAACCCTCCACGAATAGGAATAAGGCTCAAGGGGAAATGCCAAAGTCATTTTACCAACAAGGCTTTTGGTGCACTAAGCTTTCAAAACTTACTCAAACTTTCATTAGCTTCAAATGAAGGTATTGAGCCATAATTATAAGGCTGAAGATTGGAAGTTACAACCTAATTTATCTAATAACAGTGGGTAATAGTTTAAAAGTGAAACTTCTTAAGAAATACAACTTACAGAAATGTAGAGAATCTCCCAAGAATGGCCAAAAACTATAAGATTATGTCCAGGAATGACAAGATTAGCAAAAGATACGACATCAAATCTACCCATCCCAAAATAAAACTCATCCTTGAATTTCAAGTAACTAAAAAGAATCTAGTGCATGGTAAGGTGTCAAGTCTAAAATATTAAATGAAGGGCTGATACTCAAAGTAGCTTGAAGATCCACACGATAAGTATTGGATCTAAGTTTATCCAAATTCAAAAAAGCACTGGATCACGCTGCATTCTTCTTTGTTTCCGCTTGTGTCTCTTCTTTTTCTTCTTCTCCTTGATCACACTATTTTTCATTCTCTTCATGCAATTGGTCTTCCCCATCAATTCAACTTGCTTGAACTTCACCCGTGAACTTCAACCATGATTCATTGGATTTTTCTTGCGCAAATTCCCAGCTTCGACTCGTTTCTTTCCTTTCTTGAAATTTTCCCAAAATACACCAAAATGCTCTTGGCTCACAAGCTTCGACTCGTTTCTTTCCTTTCTTGAAATTTTCCCAAAATACACCAAAATGCTCTTGGCTCACAGAGAACGCACCGTTTCTTTCCTTTCTTGAAATTTTCCCAAAATACACCAAAATGCTCTTGGCTCACAGAGAACGCACCGTCTTGGATTGAACACAAAGGAGGACTTTTATTAAAAATCATGCTCTTGGCTCACAGAGAACGCACCGTCTTGGATTGAACACAAAGGAGGACTTTTATTAAAAATCCATGGGGTTGATTTTTTCTATCAAACTCAATCAAGCCTAAAGGAGAATGTAAGGCATCTTGAACTTCACCCGTGAACTTCAACCATGATTCATTGGATTTTTCTTGCAGGAGAATGTAAGGCATCTTGAACTTCACCCGTGAACTTCAACCATGATTCATTGGATTTTTCTTGCACAAATTCCCAGCTTCGACTCGTTTCTTTCCTTTCTTGAAATTTTCCCAAAATACACCAAAATGCTCTTGGCTCACAGAGAACGCACCGTCTTGGATTGAACACAAAGGAGGACTTTTATTAAAAATCATGCTCTTGGCTCACAGAGAACGCACCGTCTTGGATTGAACACAAAGGAGGACTTTTATTAAAAATCCATGGGGTTGATTTTTTCTATCAAACTCAATCAAGCCTAAAGGAGAATGTAAGGCATCTTGAACTTCACCCGTGAACTTCAACCATGATTCATTGGATTTTTCTTGCAGGAGAATGTAAGGCATCTTGAACTTCACCCGTGAACTTCAACCATGATTCATTGGATTTTTCTTGCGCAAATTCCCAGCTTCGACTCGTTTCTTTCCTTTCTTGAAATTTTCCCAAAATACACCAAAATGCTCTTGGCTCACAGAGAACGCACCATCTTGGATTGAACACAAAGGAGGACTTTTATTAAAAATCCATGGGGTTGATTTTTTCTATCAAACTCAATCAAGCCTAAAGGAGAATGTAAGGCATCTTGAACTTCACCCGTGAACTTCAACCATGATTCATTGGATTTTTCTTGCACAAATTCCCAGCTTCGACTCGTTTCTTTCCTTTCTTGAAATTTTCCCAAAATACACCAAAATGCTCTTGGCTCACAGAGAACGCACCATCTTGGATTGAACACAAAGGAGGACTTTTATTAAAAATCCATGGGGTTGATTTTTTCTATCAAACTCAATCAAGCCTAAAGGAGAATGTAAGGCATCTTCCTTACAAGGTAGTAATATTCAAAAAAATACGAGAAGCAAGCCATACAAAAGATCACAAGTTAATTCAAGAGGACTACACTCTCCTTTAACCAAGGTTTACCACAAAAGACCACAGAGACCCTTTTCCCTAGCCAAACACAAAACGCCTTGGCTCACTAATAGATTGACAAACCTATAATAGAGTAACAAAAAAGACCCACTAACTAACTGACCCAACAGACTGCTACAATGGGGTAAATCCCCATCTTTGCCCTTCCGAACATAAGTGTTGACTAGCAGGGGCCTCCCAAGGAACTTGACTGTTGTCATTACTGAAACCTTCCAATTTAGCAAATAAAATTTTGACAAAGGTTGGTGTAGCTGTGGAGGAAAGAATTAAGGCGAGCAATAATGATTTAAGAAAAAGTTGCTAGTAGGTTAAAGAAGTGTGGTCATCACAGGAAATCTATCCAATCCTAGAATCAACCCTACCACGTTACATTCCTAATGTATTTCAAATCGGCAAATGATACTCAAAACACAAATCAATCTCAAGAAAAGAAAAGAGAAAAAGAACAAACAAAACCTATTCTGTAAAGGAGAAGCAAAAGAAGAACATAAATTGAAGTACTTGAAGATTTGTACCCAAGGCATAATGTCACACAAAAGTTAGAAATAGAGGAAAAAGAGATGAGACTAATTAATGTGACATTTAAAAAAATAAAAAAAAAACTATTCTTGACCAAGAAATGAAAGATATCAAGGAAACTATTAAAAACCTGGATCATCTTTGTAGCATCAACTGATGATGTGCTAGACATAGGTAGTTCACACTCCATAACTTTTTCACTGGAGGTAGATATCCCATCGCCTCGGCTTACAGAATAACTTTGAGGGTCAATAAGCTTTTCAGCAGCTTTTGTTAGTCCATATTTTGTCTGATCAATATTGCCTACACCAAAGAATCAGTAAGCTATCAAAGACACTTGGAGGTAGTGATAATATGAGCTGGCAACACTATATGCTCTGTAGTTCATTCTAGATGAAAATAAAAATTCTCCACTACGACTAAATAGACCTAGATGGTCAAGCACTATTTCCAACAAACTTTTGAAAAAAGAAGAAATACTTGGAACCCAATAGGCCATTGCCTAATCTTATTGAAATAAAAAGCACATACCTCCTTTAACTAAATATGCCGGTGATTCAACCCTATTCGTCTTTACATTCCTAGGATTAACCAGTGAACTGCGTGTATCAAGTTGATGAGTATTGTCACTAGATGGTTCCAGAACTGATGTATCCACCTTCTTCCTTTTCTTGCTGCCCTTCTTACCATCCTTGTCATTTAATTGCTTGTCCCAATTCACTGAATCATGCTTCTCTTGTGACTGTGAGTTGGCAGACCTTGAATCCAAACTAGACGGACTTTCTTGATCAAAAGATTGACCACTTCGATGGGTTGTGGATCCAGGATAATAATCGTGATCTGTACTACTTGGGCCAACAGGTGGCTTGCTTGAAGCAAGTGGGCCACTTTTGGTCATCTCACTTCCAGATATATCCATTTTGGAATCTTTAGCAGCACCAGCGACACTGGAAGAACCTGCAACTATTTCTATGATAATTTATTCTGAACAAAGAATAACACGTGCATTTGTAGACAAGAATACAAACAATAACATGTGCACTTGCAAACCAGATTCACTTAAACAATCCCAAATAGTAATATCATTGTACCCGCATATTGTGCAGTTGAAGAATCACCCATCTGAGTTCCACCAGTCAGAGGAAGGCGTGATGCCCTCAAAGCTTCAATATCAAGACCATGTTGATTGATGACAGTCTCCATGGCCCTAAATAAAAGAGGTTTAGTTAGCAAGAATGAAACAAAGAGAATATGAATCCAAAGAGACCATGGCAATGAAAACAGTGACCATTTAATCGGTAAAGAAGTAGAATATGCATCAACAAGCAACCATTCAAGACCAACAACTCAACAGAACACATATTACACAATAAACAAAATTTTAGAAACAGTTTTGCAACCAAATTTGGCATTAATGTAGAGCTTCTTCATGGATGAAGTGTGAATAAAGGTGACAAATGAAAAAGTAAACCATAATAATAGAAATGACAACAGGAGGTTATGTTTTTAACTTCAACCTAGTGGCAGTGAGAAAAGTATTACAAAACAGAACACCAATTAGTGAACAGCTGCAAAGTAGTTTACAAAAGGATTTAATACGATTGCTTTATTCAGTGGGCCACAAACAACCTTATCAAGAGAGTTTGTAACCCCTTTGAGCATCCTTGAAGATTCTTCAGTTTTGTTCCTTTTACATTTCCCAGATTCATGTAATGGTAACTTCCCCAATACTTATTGTAGCCAATCAAGGTTTGATGGGAAATTCAATTGTGGATAAACCAAATTTGAAAGAAAGAGTACAGATTACAGATAATTCAAGTGCTACTTAGTACCTCATTGCTTAAGGGAACTCATTGTCCAAAAACAATTAAACACCAAGATTAAGATCATGTAATGCATTATCTTCTTTATTCTCTAAGTGATGACTTATTTGCCATTTTTTTATAGAAATTCCTTTGATCACTAATTGTTCCGAAGGACAATTCAAAATCACATGTATTGTGCTTGTGTATTTTAAAAGGGAAAGATGACTTTCCATCGATACAATGACAAATTACAAATGAAGTAGCCAACTAACGTACAAAAAAAAAATCAGGCCTGCCGACGTAATCTAATTCTTTGAGCACAAAGAAACCCAAAAGCTTTTCAATTCAATATCTGTCCAAGTTCAGTGAATTACCCAAAAAACAGTCTAACAAAAAAGTTCCTAATTTGAATTTTAAAAAAAATAGAATGAGTATGATTACAAAGAGAAATTGAAAGAGAGCACCATGAAGAACAATCCAGTTTAGCCAATTCGAAGGCTTAATCCCAATCTTATTCCTTTCTATTCAAGAGTTGATAGTTTCAATACACCCATACCCCCTCACAAATCAAATGTTTTCTAATCCAAAAATAATCACTTAAATGCCCCCAAGAAATAATCTTCACTACATTTAGATATCATACCTCTTTTGTCCTTGATCAGGGTTTTTTCAGTTAGTTCAAGGAAAAAGATCTTTGTTTTTGGATCCAAGTCCTTTAGAAGGATTTTCTTGTACACCCTTTTTCATTGACCAGTGAACCGTCATTATCTAACTGCCCTATTTTTACTTCCAGGAAGGTTAAAATTCACAAGGGAAAAAAATTGTTCAGGAAGTTCTCTGCAGTAGAGTTTGGACTCTTCACTAATAGGACCCCAGTGTTGTATCCTTCGCTAGACCTTGATCGCTATCTTTACAAAGAACCCACCAATTTGGGAAAAGATTCATATTCCAAAGGATCCTTTGAATTCAACCACAAGTATTCAACCCCTCGAAAGAAAAGATCCACGAGAAAACCTTCACCTTTTTTGGACAAGAAACTTGCCAAATCATGTCAACATGCTGGTGATTGAGAGCTGCATAATGCAGAGATATGAATGAACCAGAATCTTTTCGGCACAAAGTGGTCCAAAGTATTTATGGGAATAGTCTCCACCAATAGCATATTTCTGGGAAATTTGGTACAAGTCTCGGAAGCCCATGGATCAAAATTTTCAAACTATGGAAACAAATTGAGTCTTTCACATCTTTCAAGCTAGGTGATGGCGGAGGAATATTATTTTGGCTAGATGCATGGATTAGCAACTGTTCTTTGAAATCTTGTTTCCCCCGGTTATTCAAAATTTCTTCCTTTCCCATTGGTTCGATTTTTTACCATTGGGGTGGAGATACTCATTCATGGAATATTATATTCTGTAGGCTACTTAAGGATGATGAAATTTTAGATTTTCAAAAGCTTTTGGGAAGTCTAGCTGGAAAGAAGGTGGTTGCATCATTGGATTCCAGAAAATAGTCACTTGATCCTTCGGGTATGTTTTCTGTGAAATCTCTTTCTAAGCATTTGGCCGCATCATCACCCATGCTTAAGGAAGTTCATTCAGGTTTATGAGTGACTAAAAGTCCCAAATGCATCAATGTTCTTATGTGAGTTATGTTTAATGGTTCATTGAATTGTTATGAGGTATCTATAAAGGAATCTTCTTTCGCACTGCATATCCCCATCAATTTGTCCTCTTTGTATGTCATATATGGATGCTTTGCAACATATCTTTTTTTTATTGCCCTTTCTCAAGTCAATGCTGGTGGAAATTATTTTGCGTTATTAATGTTCAGTGGATGCTCTTCAATTCATTTAAGGAGGACATTCTCCATTAGCTAGTTGGCCCTCCCTTGGCGCCAAAATCTAAGATATTGTGGTCAAATGCAATGAAAGCTCTCCTATCTGAAATATGGTCGGAAAGAAAAGGACTTTCCACGACAAGTCTATGCCTTGGGTTGATTGCTTTGGATTGGCTAGTCTTAAAGCCGAATCAGGGCACATGAAAGTTTGATAGTGGAAAAATACAACCAATAGAAGATACAACAATTGTAAGGAAAAATGGTTACTGAAGTATGGAACGGTGATTTTTTACCTCGAAATTACTTGATACGGCATGGAATGTTCTTTCCCACTTGATTTCATGTGTTGCAATATCTGAAACTCACACAAGCATGAAATCATAAATATGAAAATTCCCCGTGCCATTAATTGAGCAGAAAAAATAAAAGTAAACGATGCTTAACACACCACATAGAGTTTTGTAGCCAATTTTGCTGGCTCGTCTCTAGATTCTTGAATGAGTTTGTGCAGAAACTTCGCAGCTTCCAGCTCAACATTTTGTGAAGATGCCATCTTGTCTAAGATAGCAACCTAAAATGTGAAATTTTGATAAGTCCAGCAATATATAAAATACAAACTTAACTTAAATAAATAGGCACTAAACGGAACAAAGTGATTCAAGAATAAATATAGTTCACTGGTAAACCAAAAGGGAAATGAACGCTCTGTATCTATCCAGCTAAAGTTTCACCTGAAGCAAGCAATTGCATCCTCTAAAAAACCATGGAAGACAAATGCATCAAACATTTCCGATAACAGCACCTATAATACTATAACTACAAGTAAATTACAATCCACCTAAACATATCCAGCTTAAGTTTCACCAGTGGCAATGAATCCTACAAATACTATAGATAATTTAAAGCATGGAAAATAGGCATATGAGCTAAAACAACGCTATAATTCTGAAAATTTCTAGTCAGGAAAACAGCACGAAGAAAAAAATTGTGTTCTGTCAAATGTGCAGTGACTTCCAAATCAGGAAATGAATTTGAAAGAGTACAGAAATTCCGTAGACGACTGATGAAGAAAACGCATACAACACCTGATACGAGATCCGCGAAGAAATTGTAAGCTGATGATGAACTACATGGAGAACTCTGGTTTTAGATTCTGAAGAAATTGCCAAGCCCTCGACAGGACGATGGAACTGTGTTTTCCACCTGCATTAAGGAAATGGTCTTCCAAACACGCTTCCCACGTGAGAAAATAATCGGGTTTCGGCCCATTTACTGAAACGTCGTCGGTTTGGGCCCATATGTGAAAACTGCCCATGCCGACATGTCGGGATGACCCTTTGTATCGAGCCCATGAAAATTGTTGGCCCATTTGTGGGATTTTTATTTTTTTTTCTTTTTGAGTAAAAATTCATTTAATGGTATCTCTTAAAATCTCAAAATAATAATCGTATTTATTAAATTTTTCAGGATCCGTAATTAAATCATTAGTGTATGATATATATATTTTTTAATTGATAGATCAATTTAATATTGAAAAAGATTTTATCTTCTCATATTCGGTTAATTATGTTGGATGATAGTCCCACATCGGCTATTTTAGAAAATGAAATATTGGTACGAGGCATTTTGTGGAAGCCCAAAGCAAAGCCATGAGAGTTGATGCTCAAAGCCTCCTCGAAAGCAATAAAAAATGACGAAGACTCTAAAGAGTCGAGCCTCAATTATGGGGAGAAAATGAGTCAAGCTTGCTCGACTCCAAATGAGTCGAGCCTCGATTGAGGGGAGGCATACTTTGTTCAAGGGGAGGTGTTGGATGATGAAAGTCCCACATCGAAACAAAGCCATGAGAGCTTGTGCTCAAAGTGGACAATATCATATCATTGTGGAGAGTCGTGTTCGTCTAACAAATTATAGGTGAAAATAGTATTTTTAAAATAGACTGTAGTCCTCGCATTCTCGAGCATGTAACCAAGAGAAGTCCAGTTGTACACGAGTCATGTCGACCCCTTATTACATTTTTTATTGTTTCTATCTCAAATGATGACAAGTCGATTCATTTAATCATGCTAGCTACTTCGTTTTCTACCCACAAAGTGAATCACATGAGCCACGTTGTGTCGTTTCTGCTCCTCACAACTATTGCTTCAATTGACATGTTATTAACCAAGAGATAGCATGCATGCATTATTGTATATACGCTCGAAAATTTATTAATATAATATTAAAATTTTATCAATTCGAGTAAAAATAGTGGTAAAAATGCCAATTATTATATATAGAACATACTAAAAGACTGATAATTTAATCCTTCCCATGAAAAAATAAAAATTAAAAACGTCACATTAAAATATTTTAAAAAACTAATCTACATTTATCAATTAGATTTTTAATTTTAAAATGTAGAAATTAATTGTATTAGAAAAAAAAATGTTGAAATCAATTGGTTATTAAACATATTATAATTTATCTTACTAATTTAGTAGGTAAAAAGAAAAATAATGTTATTTCACTGAATTTTAAGTTTATTTTAAATAAATAATATTGAAAACTAATACAAATCACTTGCCAAATATATGAATTAATTAAATTAAAAAAAATTACGTTTATTAATTGACTATTTTAACGGGTAGATGTGATTTCCCCCTAAAATCTTTTAGAATTTGATGAATTAAAAAAAATGCAACGGTCGAAATACACCCCACCCGCGAGTCACATGACCGTTTGAAAAATTTGAACGTATTACATTGCCACGTCACCCACTCACCTCAGCATTAACGTTCAGTTTTTATTTTAAATATTTTTATTTTATATTTATTTTTGTTTTTTTTTAATTATTTGATTGCAATTTCAATATCCGAGTGTTCCCGCTCATTTCCAGCTTCTCTCATCTCTTCGAACGGCAGAAGCAGATTCCACTTCTCTGCTTCATCTCTGCCACTGATCATAGATCGTCAAGAAATCAAGTTCGGTTCTCTCTCGTCTGTTGATCTCAGTCTCACTCTTTCTCTTTCTGTTGGCCGAGGAGTATTTTTGGTCGCTCGATTTTGTAATCTGAAACCCTAGCAACTCCGGTAGAGCTGAGAATGAATCAGTACCACATCTATGAAGCCATTGGCCGTGGAAAGTATTCGGTAACTACTTTCGAGCTTGTTTCTAGTTTTCAGAGTTTGATCAGTTTTAGTTTATCAGCGGCATTCTCTGCAATTGCTGGATTTTGTGCTGACTGTCTTTTTTTTTTGTTCGGGATGTTCCTAGACTGTGTATAAAGGGAGGAAGAAGAAGACGATCGAGTACTCCGCGATTAAAAGCGTGGATAAATCGCAGAAGAACAAGATTCTCCAAGAAGTAAGCCAGCAAAACTCTGCTGTCCTTTATGGAGAGTAGACTGTTCAAACGGATTTTTGATAAAAGATCTTGGTACATTTAGGATGGAAGTAGAACACTAGATTCGTTCAGCGCCTGCTGATTTACATGTGTAAAATCGATGCAATGCTCATCTTAAATTTTACTCATTAGTGCTAAAAGAATAATTGTATTTGCCTTCTATCTGCACTAATAATGCTTTTCGGAACCTCGATATCACCAGGCCCGACATTACGTATATGTTGTTATTGAATCAAAGACGCCAGTCCACTGTTTGTTCATAGATTCTAACGTAATATTCTACATTCTCATCTAATGCAGGTCAGAATACTTCACTCCCTTGATCACCCAAACGTACTCAAGTTTTACTCCTGGTAACATTTGGAAACGCTCGTCAATGTTTCTAAAAGGATCTTCTAAGCAGTCATCTTTGACCAATTTTGTCGATTTACAATCACTTCGAATTAAACATTCATTTTGCCCCATGTTTTTGCATTCTTAAGGTATGAAACGTCTGCTCACTTATGGCTGGTGTTAGAGTACTGTGTTGGAGGAGATCTCATGAGCATCCTGCGCCAGGTACATCAAACAGTTGATCCCCATACATGGAATTATAGTTTTTGCAGCTACCGTTAGAAACCTGTTAGGCTGTTCAATAAAAATATAGATCAAGTGTTATCACCGTGGAATTATAAGTTAAACTCTTCTTAACGTAAGACATGCTTCTGCTTACGAACAACACTGCCTAGTTCACCTTACTTTTATACAGAACTCCTTTTGCAGAGTCGGCTGTGATGCTTGCAACATACGATATTTGGGCATTTTGTTCACTTTTTATTGTTAATTTACAAATCTTCCAAAGGTTCACGTATCTCATAAGTCATCTGCTAGGGTTCTATAGAATATGGTAGGCCCTAGGGTATGTGGAGTGCACATTTCAAACGATATTTGGGCATTTTGTTCACTTTTTATTGTTAATTTACAAATCTTCCAAAGGTTCACGTATCTCATAAGTCATCTGCTAGGGTTCTATAGAATATGGTAGGCCCTAGGGTATGTGGAGTGCACATTTCAAACGATATTTGGGCATTTTGTTCACTTTTTATTGTTAATTTACAAATCTTCCAAAGGTTCACGTATCTCATAAGTCATCTGCTAGGGTTCTATAGAATATGGTAGGCCCTAGGGTATGTGGAGTGCACATTTCAAACGATATTTGGGCATTTTGTTCACTTTTTATTGTTAATTTACAAATCTTCCAAAGGTTCACGTATCTCATAAGTCATCTGCTAGGGTTCTATAGAATATGGTAGGCCCTAGGGTATGTGGAGTGCACATTTCAAACGATATTTGGGCATTTTGTTCACTTTTTATTGTTAATTTACAAATCTTCCAAAGGTTCACGTATCTCATAAGTCATCTGCTAGGGTTCTATAGAATATGGTAGGCCCTAGGGTATGTGGAGTGCACATTTCAAACGATATTTGGGCATTTTGTTCACTTTTTATTGTTAATTTACAAATCTTCCAAAGGTTCACGTATCTCATAAGTCATCTGCTAGGGTTCTATAGAATATGGTAGGCCCTAGGGTATGTGGAGTGCACATTTCAAACGATATTTGGGCATTTTGTTCACTTTTTATTGTTAATTTACAAATCTTCCAAAGGTTCACGTATCTCATAAGTCATCTGCTAGGGTTCTATAGAATATGGTAGGCCCTAGGGTATGTGGAGTGCACATTTCAAACGATATTTGGGCATTTTGTTCACTTTTTATTGTTAATTTACAAATCTTCCAAAGGTTCACGTATCTCATAAGTCATCTGCTAGGGTTCTATAGAATATGGTAGGCCCTAGGGTATGTGGAGTGCACATTTCAAACGATATTTGGGCATTTTGTTCACTTTTTATTGTTAATTTACAAATCTTCCAAAGGTTCACGTATCTCATAAGTCATCTGCTAGGGTTCTATAGAATATGGTAGGCCCTAGGGTATGTGGAGTGCACATTTCAAACGGTTTCTGCATACACCACTTGGCCTGCACGATCTTTTGTGTCATCTTGTGTGCAGATTTAGAATCTTTTGGCATAGTGAAAAGGGCAGAGGATTTAAAGTGCTTATGTCTAATCTTTGGAGTTTAAAGAATTAACGATATTAATTTGTTTTTGGATGAGTGGCAGGATGGAAAATTACCTGAAGATTCAATTCATGATCTTGCTAGTGATCTTGTCAGAGCATTGCAGTAAGACAGTCTTGGTTTATATGTTTCTGTATCCGTATCAGTATGTTTTTTAAACTCTTTGGTTGTATTGTTATATATAATCAAACAATTTCAGGTACTTACACTCGAAAGGAATCATATACTGTGATTTGAAGCCATCAAATATTCTACTGGACGAAAATGGACATGTCAAGGTATTTATGCCCCATTTTATTTGATTGGGTCGCTTCCAGTAGTTACTATTTTATTTAATTTCTTACTTCTTGTCCTGTTATGCAGTTATGCGATTTCGAACTAGCTAGAAAGCTTAGTGAAATATCAAGAACAAATTCATCGGTAGGTCAAAATCATTTTATTGTAGTAGTCTTCTTACGCTTGAACTTTTAGTTTTGGACTCAACTCCCATCACATTATTATTTCCTAAGAAGTTGCTTACTGTTTTCTTTGATGCACTTATTTAGGTGCCACAAGCGAAACGAGGCACACCCTGTTATATGGCTCCTGAATTGTTCAAGGAAGATGGTATCCACTCCTACGCGTCTGATATGTGGGCTCTCGGCTGTGTCCTATATGAATGCTTTGTGGGGAGGCCTCCTTTTATGGGAAGAGAA